GGAAGCATGTGGTAAGTTTACTCTTGTTCTAAAGTTATTTGACCCTCTAGGTAACACAATGTGTCAGAGATATCATATGTTGATGGAGAAGTAGAAAAACTCTATATGAAAAAGGAACGTTGGGAGCTTATCAACGAGAGTCACAAATCTACTAAGGTCTAATTTTTTATTAATGATCTTTTTTTAAGCATTTTAACTATTTGTTTTTTTTTTCATTTTCAATAAAATATATTGAATATCATTGAAGTTTGACTCCTCTTTTATATGATATTTTCCATAACCTAAAGTCCTCAAAAACTCCACCATTAAATGAAGCGTAAGTATTCCATTTGCGAATCAGTTTTAGCATAGCTTCATATGCTTGGAAAAATAGAACGCATGTTTTGATTTTTAGTCTTCGTTAAAATATATTTAAACAAATAACGTAGTTTCATATACTTATAATCAAAACGATTAATTTTAAGTAATGAGTTCATGTGATTTGTATTTTGGAGAAGCTTTGACAGACTGCATTTGTGTATCACCAGAATTCTTCTAATAGGTTGATTTAACTATAAATTAGCTACGAAATTTTATGAGTTTTATCATGATGTTGATCTTATTCATGTGACATGCCACGTCAATATTTTTGATAGTTAGCTGTGTTACATGTTCGTGTCACTCAATTCTATTCACGGACGTTAGTAAGAGGGATTAAAGGTGTGGATGGAATTTTTTATAGAGATGATTCATTGAAAGAAATATTTAGAGAGACTAAAATTGAAAACCACAATATTTAGAGAGACTAAAAACATATTTAACCCTACATTATACCATGTTTTTAGAGCATGATTATCGCCTGCTGCACTACCGTTCCTACACAATATTCAATGTCATGCTGTCAAAATAAATGGATAATTGATCCAAACTTGCGGTTCTACATTTGCAACCGTTGTCAAATGTGAGAACGTTTCTACTAGGGGTGTTCAAATCCAATCCAATCCGAATAAAAAACTGAAAATCGATCCAAAAAACCGAAAACTGCAAAAAACCGAAATTTATTGGATGTGTTTGGATGTCATTTTATGAAAACTGATCGGTTTGGATCAGATTTCGAATTAATTTTTCAAAACCGATCCAAACCAAACCAAACCGCATACATATATTTATACTTATTTACTTTTTATTAGTATGATATGTTACATGAATTTATTATTAGGTGATAATAATTTTTTTAATATTAGTTATTAATTTGGTATAATTTATTTATTTTTATTGTTTCAATCATAACCAACCACTCTTATTTTGTAATATTAACTTTTAATATACTATATGTTAAAAATATAATGTGTAATTTGGTTATCCAAAAACCGATCCAAATTAAACCGCATAAAATTGGATCGGATCGGATTGAATTTTTTTAATATATCATTCAAAACCGAACCGAACCGCAAATAAATTTATCTTTGAATCGGATGATTTTTTATTTTAAAACCGATCCAAACCGAACCGCGAACACCCCTAATTTCTATACTCCAATTAAGTGGGCCATGATAATAAATTAATAAATAAAATTGCAAGAATGTAGTTGATTTGTTTTAAATGTGAGATCCATTTTAGATTTTTTGACGAGTTAGATGGATATTTGAGAATTGTAGATGAGTTGTTTAAAAAATTGAGAAGTGTAAAATAATATAAAAAATTATATGAGTCTCATTTAAAGAACCCAAATGAATATGATGAATGTGGATGCTCTTAGTTCATAAATATCTAATTGAATATATTTAATAGGTCGTTCATCTTCAAAAACTCATTTTCATTGGTTTCACCCAAGTTATTTTACTGTTTGTTTGTCATATTTTCTGATTTATTTTCAAAAAATTATTTGAGGAAACTAAATTATTTAGATTTACATCATTCTCAAAGGACATCAGAGGGCATTGGGCAACAAATTTTCCATAACACCCTTTTGAAAAATGATCATGGTCGAGAATAGATGTTTGCAGAGGTGTTTGTTGAAAGTTGAGTGAAGATTTTGATTATAATAAAGAAATGTATGTGTATTAGATGTTTGTTGATAATAATTGTAATAGTAATTTTTCAAATCTTAATCAATAATTTTTGGAGGAAAAATACTTAATTGTTTTTTTGTGGTGATTTTCGACAATACTATTAATTACATCAGAAGGAAGTATTTCTTATATATTTCATGCCACAATTAATTTTTCATACATATGAGATAACTATCACATATTGACACTTACAAACAACATTAAAATAGTGTGTTTAGATTAAGGATTCAAAAAAGTTTTTGAAGAATAAATTATCTGAGAATAAAAATAAATAAAGAAGTTTGATTTTTAGATATTTTAAAGAAAATTTATTTGACATATTATTTGATATTCTTAGAAAAATTAATAGTTATATTTTTTAGTAAAAAAATCATGTGAAATTTTATGAGAATGAACATTTCCACTTTTTATATGAGAATAAAATCATTAAAATTATAAAAATTATAAAAATTATTGAAAGTTATTTTATTTCTTAAAACCTTTATTTTAAGAATAACTTTTTTCAAACTTTTAACAAATATGAGTATAACCATTTTCTAAAAATTATTTCTAAAAATTAAATTCTTAAACTTGAAACAAACACATTCTCAATAATTCAGAATTGAAACAATTTTTCAAATGGACATTAGATGTGAGAAATGGAAAACTATATAAACTTACCGATGTTCTTATAGTCTAGAGCTATTTTGGCATGTATAATCTATGCAATCAATGAATATATGTTAGGATTGATTTCAAGTAATAAATTGTTTTCATTATCTATTGGAGCTATAATGTTTAGTGTAAAAATTAATTACATATTTATATTCAAATGTTTTGTAGGAGAGACAAGAATATTTAAGTGCAAATTTTTGTGGATAGATATGAGGTTGATCGCAATGAAGCTTTTGATGATTTGAATCTACAATTTATGGACTTCCTAATCATAAATAAAACTCATCCATCAATAATTCTACTAAAAAATAATGATCCATCAAAATGATTGTGTAATGGAACAATACTTATAGCTGCAATACTAGTAAATTATGCGATTGAGGCAACAATCATACCATGAAAGAATATTTGAAGAAGATATCCCTCCTAGAATGTTACTGACTATACAATCTCCATGGTCTTTTAAGTTTACTAGAAAGAAATTTCCTACAATGTGTCTTGCCTTGTGCTATGACCATCATCAAATTTTAAGGTCAATCATTAAGATAAAATAAAATAAAATAATTTTATATTAAATATCCTTTATTTCATTTAAAATTATCAGTTAAACTATTAATTTTATCAAATACGTTAATTAATTTATTATTTATAAAGTCATCAATTATCAATTTTAAATTACTAACAATTTAACATTAATTATAAATTATAAATTATCAACTATTTTATTAATTGACTGTTATTTTTACTAAATATAACTTTAACGAACTGATTTTTAGTGGTTACAATTAACTTTAATTCATTAACTATAGTAAAAAAAATGAAGAAGCTCAAACTAATTTCATCTATAAAACAATAAGTCAATTATTAAATAAACATAAGTTAATCATGTTTTAATATTTTTAAAATTATTAATTATATAATATTTATTAGAATTAATTCAATACAAAGATTAAATTTATAATTATAATTTAAGCGAAAGTGAAATAAATATATGAAGATATATACGCACACAACTTTATGATATAAGACATGTTAGTTTATGAAATATTATTGAGGATTATAAGAATATTTAGACGTATTTCAATAAAAATCTTTTTAGACAATTAATGCGAAAAATATAAAGACACAATTAGGATAATAGATAATATGATTGTCATAATTATACGAGTATATTGAAAACTATAACCTGTATATAAGGTTATTATCGAGTAAAGTTCTCATTGTTTCAAAATAGCATTACGGTATGTATTTATATTTGAGTTTATATTTAATTTATTAATTAATTATAAAATAAAAATAATTAATTTTTTAACTTTGACCATATTAACCAATGAAGTATTTTAATTTGATAAATAACATAATAATTATTAAAATATAATAATTAAATAATATTTAAAATATAAAATATTTCAACACTATTCATGAACATTACTATTATTAATTATTTAATTTAATATAAAATTATCCATTATACAACATTTTCATTAAAATTACTATATTTTTAATCATAAAAATATATAAATTAATTTCATGTGATAAAAATGAATTAAAGAATAATTAAGCCAAAAAAAAAATTCATTAGTTTCAAAATAAAGTACACTAGATTGTAAAAAAATCGAAAACCGACCTAAAAAATTGAAAACCGTAAAAAATTAAAATTTATTAAATGTGTTTGGATGCATTTTGTGAAAATCGATTGGTTCGAATCGGATTTCAGATTAATTTTTTAAAACTAATTTAAACCAAACCGAACCACATACATATATATTTATACTTATTTATTTTTTATTACTATGATATATTACATAAATTTATTATTAATTAATAATAATTTTTTTAATAATATTTATTAATTTGATATAATATATTTATTTTTATTATTTCAACTATAATCAATCACTCTCATTTTTTTAATATTAATTTTTAATATATTATATATTATATAAAAAAATCAATAATTTATTATTAGTATTATAATATTAATAAAAATATAATATATAATTTAAATATTTAAAAATCAATCTAAATTAAACATAATAAAATTAGATTGGATTGAATTGAATTTTTTTAATATATTATTTAAAATCGAATCAAATAGTAAATAAATTTATCTTTGAATGAAATGAGTTTTTATCTTAAAATCAATCCAAACCAAAAAGTGACCGTAACTAATAATATATTTTTCTTGGAATGAAAATCCCCAATACACAGACTCCACAACAAACCTAATTTTGTACCACCATCATTCTCATTCCTCCAAGTCCCTCGCCGCATCCACACGGTTCTGAGAACAAAATGCTCACTGAGGAGAATCCCGAAGCATTCGCTTCACCGGAGCAGAAACCCGAAGATAACATCAAGAACAAGAAACCCAAAAAGAAGAAGAAAAACACCGAAAACTCGGCTCAACCTCAGGTATGCTCCGAACCCTCAGTAGTAATTGCACCGAATCAAGAAATCAAATCAAATGAAGAATCTTCATTGCCTAAGAAAAAGAAGCCGCGTAAGAAAAAAAGCGTGATCAATGCTGAAGTAGGACAACCAAATAGGGAAGAATCAAAACCCTCATTAGACCTGGAAATTAAAAAAGAAGCCGAACCAGTTGAAATATCTGTAGAAGGTGCAGAAACTGTAACAGTTAAGAGAAAACGAAAAAGTCAAATAGGAAAATTGGATGAGGTGGTGGTTGTGGAGAATGCACTCAAGCAAGATCATGATCAGGAGCAATTGAACACAGCAGTAGGCACAGACGAGAAGACGGATAAGAAACATAAGAGGAAGAGGACCAAGAGTAAGTTAGATGGGGTGCAATCCAATGAGCCAGGTGAAACTGTGGTTCGGACAGCTATAATAGACAGAGAAATACCTCCGGCAGACCCGACTATCCCAGGGGATCCTCGTCCTGTAAATTTATCAGAGCTGGAAAATGAGTACTTGGATAGAAAATGGATGAAGAGGAAAAGAAAGTGTGAACTCAAAAGTAGAGAGGAAGAAAAAACCAAGGCACACAATGGCAAGGCAATTGAAATCCAAGTTCAGAGACCTGTTGACCCTATAACAGAACCCTCAACTGATCCAGCAATTATAATGGACCCTCACCCTGCAACCCCAGTAGACACAGAGCAGAAGATTTCAAAGAAACGTAAGAAGAAGAAAAGGAAGTGTGAAAGTGAAATTTCAGCTCAGAAATCGGTAATCTCTACAACAGTGCCATCCATGGACCAAGCGATCCCAATAGACTCTGCTTGCCATACAGCTGCACCCCCTATAGACGCGTCAATTCCAGAACAGAAGACCTCAAAGAAAAAGAGGAAAAGGAAAGGTGGCCTCAAAAGTAAAGGGTTGGAATCTGATAGACACAATGCTGGTTCAACTGCTGAAACCTCGGTTCGGGGAACTAAAAGAGTCAAAGTCACTAATGCTCCCCATTATCAACATGGTATAAGTTCTATGGTACGTAATATGATTCTTGGATTTAATTTAAGTAGTTGTATTTTGTGTTCCTTTAGACTAGCATAAAATAATCAAAGAAAGTTACTAAAGAGTGATCCCACCAAGGTTTGAAGTTGATTCAATTAGATATTTAGAATTATCCTGTTGTAGTACATAAATGGGGTAACTTGGTGTTTGCAGATATGTTGGGCATGCCGGGAAACCAATCACACAATTCAACAATGCCAAAAGCTTAAACACCTCTCCAAGGATGAGGAGATTTGTTTCTTCTGTGGGGAAATTGGGCACTCACTTGGAAAATGCTCAGTGTATAAAGCAGGTGTGTTAATATTTATCCTTTTTTTCTTGATGAATTTCTTATATTATATTTTTTAATGCAAGCCTGTGAAAAACATCAATTTTACTGTGAGAGCCATATCAAATCTATATGTTGCATGACAATTGTGAATTTTACTGTTTTTCATTGAAATTTTTATGGCAGCAACCCAAGTTATGAGGATATATGCTTGCCTAAACTTAATTTGTTACACCTTCACTATTATAAACAAAATTGATTTTTTTTGGGTTCATTGAACAAATTGATACATCACTTGTTCTGTTTGGGATTTGTATGAAAGTGATTTTGCCAAGTTCTTTTGTAGGGCAAAAATATTTTCATGTTTATTACTTGCAGTCTAGGACTGTTTATATAGGAGGAAATTCAATAAGTGTTGTCTCATTATTGAAGACTACTAACCAATTAAAATAGTTGCAAGTCAAATAGGACTAAGATAGAATAAAATCAGGGAGAATAAAATCAGATCGCGCTTGATTCTCTAATGTTTCTCCTACATATTGTTTTTAAAAAAAAATGATCTTGTAGTAGTTGAATAATACCATACTGTTGCTTCTATTGCAGAGTATTTTCACAGAAGTAACTGTGTTATATGAAGATGAGGTCTTTGCGCTTCATTCAGAATAACTTATTCTTCATGCCAGCACCCCATTTCTAATGAATCCTCTTGTCTTTGAAGTAAATAGTAAATACATATTGTGATTTATGATTGAAGATGTTTTTAATTTATCCTGCCAATAAAAACTCATAACTTAAGCTTTTTGTTCTTTCTTTTAGAAAAATGCTTTCCAATAACATTCTTTATCCCCCTTGTTTTGCTCTTATTTTTACTTTATTGGTATATATTATTCTGAAAATATGATCGAGAGTTAGATATAGGAGTTTTGCATTGAGGTTATCTAGAATTTTGGCTCATTTCAAAGGTTGATTTTTTGTTTTGCACTAATATGATTTTACACTTTCATTATTGTGCGAAGAATTCTATCCAGTCATTCATAGGTCTAAATTGTTTATGTTTCTTTATTCTTTATATCTGTGCTGTCAATAGTTCGTTAAAGCAGTAAAGCAGAGACCCGAGAACACTGGAATGAGATGGTAAAGGATCTATTTCAGTTTAACCAAAGGTCCCTGGGTATGCAATAGTGTTAAATTCTTTTGAGGGAGAGCTTTGCTGCTCATTGTGGTCTTCCCTGCCACGAGGGATTAGTCTCTGCAGTTGCGCGCAGAGAATGCCCGATTTTTACCGAAAAAAAAAGGCAAAGCATAGAGACCGATAAATGCCTAAGATAAAAACTTATATGTATTAGCCTATTTTCTAATTTGAATTCTAATGTCTAGTAAGTTTAATTAAGCCTGAGATGCCTAAACTTTTTTGTTTTCCTCATTTTTTTGTTATGTATTTCTACGTTTTGCTCATGGCATGTAAATATTTTATCTTATTGATGAATATTTCCTTAATTTTGAGTATTCAATTAGTTTTTCCGCATTTACATATTTAGTATATATGCACAAAAAATGTTAAGAATAGTGGTCATCCCACTATTGTTCTGTAGCATTATTTATACCGGCCACTATGTGCCACCATCCAGGATTGTTAACTTTGCTTTACATTAAAAGCTTACTTTACATTCATTGATTCGTCTCAAGACTTTCTGTACTTTGGCCTTGTTTAAATTTCTGCCGTTGATTGTATGAGACCTTGTGACAATGAAATGCTTGTGGTATATTGCAAGTCACGGGCTTCAGTTCAACTGAAAAATGAGGATTCTGTTAAAGTGAAAAACAAGATTCTGTTGAGCTCTACTTCCTTCTAGGCAGTAGAGATCTATTCTTTATCGAAATAGATTTTATTAGAACAGTTGGAGAGGAGTCTAACAACTAGAGGTAGAGGAAGACCTAGAAAAATTATAAGAGAAACTATCAAGACAGATCTTAAGATTAACGAATTAGATAGAAACATAGTTTTGGTTAGAACGTTAGTGCAGAATTTGATCTATGTAGTTGACTCCACTTAGTCGGGTAAGTCTTGGTTGTTGTTGTTGAAAGAGTTGTATTCTTATTTGTATGTCTTAGCTTAGTTATATAGAGAGTTGGTATTGTACCAGGCTTCACAACTGCTCTTTCGTTTGTTTTCTTATTATTCAAAATTGTTCATTCGTGTTGCAGGTGGCGGAAGGCTTGCCAGGTGCTTATTTTGTGATGCACATGGGCACTTCAGTTACAATTGCCCTGGAAATGGTCATGATCCAAAGGTATTATAATCTATTATTTGGATTTTATACCACTTTTCCCAATTTCTTTATACAGAATTGTAAGTCTCTTTGGTAGTTGGTGTGTTTAATTTATATTCTAAAGCAATTAATATTCTAAAGCTCACAACTAACTCAAATAGCACACAAAGTATGTCCCCGACTTCCTGTAAGTCCAAACAAGTAATTGTGTTGCATTCCTGTACTGTATCTATTCCAAAGAGTATTGCATACACCATGAATAGTTTGAGAAAGTGACCTGATTGATGTTAGTTTGAGAAAATCAATGGAAAACGAATGAGCTGAGTTTTGAGAGTCATTCGAGGAGTGAGCTTCTAACTTCGGCAGACACCATGAATAGTTGTTGAGGTTTTGACGTTTGAGTGATTTTAAGTGTCGGTCTACCATGAACATCTATCAGAATGGTTCACCGGAGAATTTGTCCCCGTTCAAACATCAAATTTTCCATGAGTTGGTCAACCGAAAATATATAGCGCCTTCAGTTCCAACTTCTGAGTGATGTCTTCATTATTCTCACATTTAGGTGCCTTTTGCCATTAGTTTCTATTGATTTCATATCTTCCTTGCAAATGATTATGTTGATGAGAAGGATGGGTAATCTTAAGTATCATATCTGACAAGTGCTTGTTCCATTATTTTGTAGGTGCAGTGGCCGGTAGAAGCCGAAGGAAAATCCAGTGCTGAAGTTACAACTGTGAGAGAAGGGATGAAGTTGTCTGTTTAAAATAAGTCAATACACATTTTTCCATTATAAAGTTGTGTTTTTTTTTTTTTTTTTGCATTTTTCTTTTGCTAATAAAAAATTTGAAATAATCTACTATTAAAGTTGTCATAATTTTTGAGAAATGACAATGGTTACGGATCTGCTTCCGTTACGGATGTTTTTTCACCAAGTTTGTACGAATAATGATTTATTGAAAAAATCCTATTAATATTGTTATAATTTTTGAGAAATGACAGTGGTTATGAATACTTTTCACGTAACTCGGACAAATGACAGTGGTTATGAATACTTTTCACGTAACTCGGACAAATGACGACTTGTTAATTGTAAAAAATATATGTATTACTATTTCTTGGATTTCTTTTTTGACGGAAAAAAAAGTCTAGGAGATAGTAATTCATATATTTTTCGATAAAATTTAAATACAATTCTTTAGATGTAGTTCTTATTATTTTTTAATAAAAATATGACAAGTGTATAATTTTTTGCACATATGCAAATTATTTATATTTTCAATGATATTTAAATATATTTTTTAAATTTTCATTAGAAAATAGTAAGAATCACATTTAAAACATTTACATAAGTTTTATCCTATATTTTTTCAATTAATAAGTCATCATTTGTCTAAGTTACAATTTATTTTTTTATATCAAATAAAAAAAGAAGAGAAAATTACAATGTAAAACAATTTTACATTGTCAATTAATGAATAATATGTATTTTGCCAAATAACACAATAGATTGTTGGATTATTATTAGATGAGAGTATAAAGTTATTTTATACTGTCAGTGGATATCTATTAAACTCTAAAAAAAAATATAGTATAAGATTATAAACTTGGATCCTTGTGGTTTAAGGTTTGTCTAGTAAGAGTGATCAAATGACCGAGTAAACCTATGATTTAATATGATTTCATTGGAATAACAATATCTCATTCTATTTTGTTGATATACTTTTCAGATGAGCAGGTTCTAAATAAGAGAAAGAGCAAAATGTCTCGAAGAGATTGAAAACTTTTTTTTTGCGTATTTTGTTTCGCTGTGTATTTTTAATTTTAGCATTTTGTATCAGACATTTATATATATATATATATGCACTACATTGTAGAGTTTCATGTAATATCGTAAATGTATATATTATGAATAATATCGTCGAATAGTTTAAATAGGTAACTTGTGTTTAAGATAACAAATAAAATTTGATTTTTATATCATTGTTATAAATTCAAACTTTCGTGTCAGACTTTTTTTTTTGGAGAATCTGTTGGGCATATAAAATGAGTTCTTCGGTTTCAAATTAATTTTTTTATTTAATTTAAATTGTGAAATAATTTAAAAAAAGTATAATTTATTCAAATTAAATATCAAAATTTTATGATTTTTTAAATGCTTATGTTCAACAGTAATTGAATTTCTTTTTTATTTTAAATTTTAAAACTACATTGCTTTTTTATTTTAAATCTAAAAGTTTAAAAATTATATTTATGCATAACCCATGAATTCCATCCAACTCATTGACCAAATTAATTTAATTTATATATTTTAAAATAAAAATAGAAAATAGATTTTTACAAACAAGCGAAATAGTACCTAAAATAGTTTATGCAATAGTAATACTTTCTAATTAGATCATGCAAATACAATCTATCAGAATAATATGGTACGTTCTTTTTTCCTCCACAATATAACTTAATTAAAGTTTCAAGTGATTTCAACCTTTGTTTCATTCCTCTAAATTCTCTTGCTCTCCGTTTTTCTCTCTAATCTCTCATACCTCTCCCAAAAATAAGGATCTCTTCCTTTGTCTCTTTCATTTCTCACTTTCTTTCTCATTTGTTTTCTTTCTCATTTTCCTCGACGTTCTCTATCATCTCCGACAACATGGTAAGTTTTGTTTATCATCCTCAACAATGCTAAGAAGGACACAAATTATGCGAGTTTCATTTCCCCCTTGATGAAATTCACGTCCACCAAATAAACAATTGTGTTCTAAAACCATTATGAGTTACAGTAATTGCAAATTACATAAAATTCAAATTTCATTTCGTGATGAAACGTTCTCTTACATGTTAATACAACATTTAATTTGATACTTTGTTGTTTTTGTATTTCATATAAATATAATTTCATCAGGCATATTGATTCATTAGATTACTTGGCACACAAGTTATTTATGTGATTATCTCTCATGCTTTAATTACATTATTCTTTGATTTTTTTTCTTTCAAAAACATGTTTAGGCTAACGCGGCATCTGGAATGGCTGTTAACGATGAATGTAAATTGAAGTTTCTAGAATTAAAAGCGAAGAGAAACTATCGTTTTATTGTGTTTAAGATTGAGAATCAAGAAGTTGTACTGGAGAAGCTCGGAGGCCCAGAAGAAACCTACGAGGACTTCAGTGCATCTCTACCTGCTGACGAGTGTCGCTATGCTGTCTTTGATTTTGATTTCACCACTGACGAAAACTGCCAGAAAAGCAAGATTTTCTTCATTGCATGGTAATTTAATTTTATATTTATTATCTGATATAATATATAGGATGTCGCGAGTTCAAACTCGCGCCCTGCATCTGATGTCTATGCATATATAATTAACATGTTGATTTTGTTGTTAATTTGATATTAATTAGGTCACCGGATATTTCAAAGGTGAGACATAAGATGGTGTATGCTAGCACCAAGGACAGATTCAAGAGGGAACTTGATGGCATTCAAGTTGAGCTGCAAGCAACAGATCCAAGTGAAATGAGCTTTGATATCGTTAAATCACGAGCATTATAAAATGTCTCTCATTCCAGTTATTCATTCATGAGTCTTTGCCCGTATAGCTAGCTTTTTGCAGCACAATTTTTATACATTTTGTTCTTTATGTCTTAATGGTCTAAGATTTAGTATAATACTAGAAAAACACATACACACCACAATACATTTAAGATTACATTAGTTAATTTTATTTATTGTATACATTACATACATTATTTGGCTTCTTAAAGTGTAACTGTACTTAGCTGCAAATCCATTTCATTCCCACATATGTTCTGTTATTTAAATTTAGAAGGGTAACTTCTTAAAAAGATTAAGAAGAATACACTGACGACAGTGTAATTTATTTTTCAACAACTTGTAACAACTTCATCCATTAGCTAAATTAGTCTGCAAAAATATATTAATCAAACAAATCTATAGACTCTCAGAGATTCTTCTTTCCATACAAATTATCTTCTCCAACTCCATCTTTCCCACCCTAAACTATACGTATCCACAACATAAATATTCATGTCAATACACATACTAATTAAACATTTAAATCTCACAAACGAACACTCTCTACAACCCCATATCATTTCAAAACAATGTTTTTTTTTTAATCTTTGATCTTTTACCTCAAATTCTTTAAGAACCATTTCTCTCTCCGAAAACCCACTCCTTCTTTAACCGACAAAATATTTTTCTCTCAAGTTGAGTTTACTTCTCCATCACCGCACCACTAGTCCTGATGGGTCAAGAGGGGGGCAATCATATTGATTTAAAAGCAACCACACAAATTTAAAAGAAACCGCATATTCACCAAAAAATCTTAATATATTGGGTATATAAGTCTTTTCACTTATAAAATGTTCAACATATATTTTTTAAAGTAATGTGAGACTTTCAACTTACACTTGTATCATAACAATCTCCCCTCCCCTTAAATGTGAGTCTATCAAGTATGTTGTAACGCCCGCTAATTAATTAATTATTTAATTAATTATTTTTGAAATTATTCATTGAAGTTGTAAGATGTTGGCATAAGTTGTGAGATTATTTCTAGTTAATTAATTAGTTGATTAATAATAGTAATACTTCACTACAACATTTGTTGTCTCTGGCAACACTTTTTTAGGTAACATGTAGAAATTGTTGCCTTAAATTCATATAGGCAACGATTTACGATTGTTGTCAAAAATATGTTTGCAACCCTTGATAATCGTTGCCTAAAATACTTTTGGGGACGTTTATGGAGCGATACTCTTTTATTTTTTTGCCAACGGTTGTTAATTGTGCCCTTAACTGCTTTTGGGGACGATTTTAGAGCGTTAAAATATTATTTCTTTAGCAATGTTTGACAATTGTCCCCTAAAATATTTTTGGGGACATTTTTAGATTGTCCCCTAAAATAATTTGATTTTTGATGTCTACATACGATAATTTTTACTACTTAAATATTACCGTACGATTGTGGCGTATCACAAGTTTGAAATAATTTTATGTTTAATTTCTAGAATAGTAATTATGAAGACAATCTTCATTTATGATTCAAAATGTATGCCACTATCTAACAAAGTACTCTCCTTCTCATTGAAGATTTGTTAACAAAAAAAAACACAGGGGTAAAAAAAAGGAATACTGAGGGGTATTTTAGCCACAAAAAATATGTTCCAATTAGTGACTATTCTCCTTCTCCTTTGCGCTCATTGCAGGTTTATATTTTCAGCCATAAACCCTTGCCATGGCGGTCACAGCAATTTCAGAAACCTCTCAAATCCACAAATTCCCTCAATACAAATACATCCACGCCGTCCGTTGGCTTCCGGTTCTCTCTGCATTCAACTGCTTCTCCGTTCTCGCTTCCTCCGACTCCGATTCTGACGTCTCTTCCATCGAAATCCACTCTTTCAAACCAAACCCTATTTCCTTCGATTTACATTCTTCATGGGCCTCTCCTTCCCCAATCTCCTCTCTCAAAGCCTCGCAGTTCCTTCAGAAATCAGTCATCGCCGCTTCAACTTCCTCCGGCTCGCTTCACTTCTTGTTCGCCGATTCCAGCGACGGGATGCTTGAATCTGAGGTTTCTGTACCGGAGAATGAGCTTCATTCGGTGGGGAAGTCTTGTATTGATTTGATCGATGGTGGCGTTGAGTGTGTTACCGTTGGGGATGATGGGAAGGTTAATTTGGTTTCGGTGGGAGATTCTAATTTGAATTATAGGAGGTTGTTTGATAGTGATGGGTTGGTC